ACTGTAGACATCTGTGGAGACCTCCATCATTCAGCCTATTCATCTGTCATAGCCATTGCCTACAAGTCTTACCTCCCTTTATGGTGTACAATCTCACCTACAGATAACATTTCCATGTTCCTGCTATTTGTAAGTGTTCATTAATCCACATTACTTCCTAACCAATAAGCTTAGTTTAACAAAATAATTAATACAAATAATTGTTTTAATCTTTTTTCATAATATTTTGCATCTCAGTGTTGCTGATCAACTGTAAGCCCTTTGCAGACATATCCTGTCTCCATTAATGGCTGTATGGCATTTCTTAGGGCGCTTTTCCTGGTGGTGACAACATTGGACCATTCCTGTGCAATGTGTTTTGTAATGACTTCTTGTAGTTTCCATCAGGAGTCTGTTTGATAGGGTAACAACATCAGAGCATAACTGCAGGACAGGGACGGTCATCTTAACTTTCTAAGATGAGAAAAAGGGACATCTTTCAGAGTAAAGTATGTAGGCAAAGGTGCACCTTTGCCACAGTTATGAAGACAGTGAAGAGGAATATGTATGAAATATATGAAGTATATATATAGAGCCGTGGTGGACCCATGCTCTCATTTTGATCTTCTTTATGGCAATGAAACAGACTATAGCCTATGCATGGAAGTCACCGTCTCTAAACTTTGAGGAAGTCAAGTGCAGGATCCAGAGATTCTTTATCAATGAAAAACTACCGATGGTGCTTGAAGACAAGCACGATACATTTCTCTCTCAATTTGGCAGCTGTGGCTTGATTACCAGCCAGTTTCTCCCTTCACTACAAGACTTCTCCATCTTTGATCTGATGCTCTACTACTGCCCCTCCCAGGCGTTAGAGGAGCATACATTATAGCTACTTACTCCCCATGGCAAACAATCCTTGACCCCCTATACCCTTTCTTATGACTATATTCTTTCTTCCCAAAAACAATTTTATTTTTCTTTTCTTTCTTTTCTCTCTGCTTTTCCCATTATTTACCTTTCATGTCATCTAGAAACTGTGCAGGCCTCCCCCCATCTGAGGTGCATGATGGGACTCTCACGAGGCTCCTGCCACCCCACTGCTTATCTGAACATGCACATGGTTGTATCATTAGGGGTTGGGTTGCATGCCATGTTTTCCACTTTTGATTTGTATGTGATTTATACTGAAATTTAGTGTACTACTTTGGCTTCAAGCAATTTCTTGACTTTGATATATTCTTTCAATATTCATGTACCGCTGCATGTGTTAACCACTCTAATATACCATGTTTTGCTCCATGTTACTTATGCCGTTCATGCATTGTTTGATATAAAACTTTTCTAATAAAGCTTTTTGGTGCCAGAAATATATATATATATATATATATATATATATATATAATATATACAGTTGTGTTCAAAACAATAGCAGTCAGACATCACTAACCTGATCAATCACTTATTTTGGTAGAAATTATATTTCTACATGGCAAATAATTTACTAGCAGGTGTAGTAGAGTAATAGAAATCCAACAGACCCAACAGTCATGACATGCATGCTGCTAATTCTGTGTAATTGAATCACTAATTGAAAGGGGCATGTTAAAAAATAATAGCAGTGTGGAGTTCTATTAGTGAGGACATTCATTCTTTGAAAAACAGGTGGCAATTATTTCCCTTATTTAAGGAAGGAAGGCAGCAAATGTTGTACATGCTGGTTACAGTGCATTTCTCTCTGAAATTCTGAGGAAAATGGGTAATTCCAGACATTGTTCAGAAGAACAGCGTACCTTGATTAAAAAGTTGATTGGAGAGGGGAAACCATATAAAGAAGTGCAGAAAATGATAGGCTGCTCAGCTAAAATTATCGCAAATGCTTTAAAATGGCAATCAAAACCTGAAAGACGTGGAAGAAAGCGAAAAACTACCATTCGAATGGATAGAAGAACAGCCAAAATGGCAAGGACTCAGCCAACAATCAGCTCCAGGAAGATCAAAGAAGGTCTAAAGTTCCCTGTGAGTACTGTTACAATTAGAAGACGCCTATGTGAAGCCAAGCTATCTGCAAGAAACCCCCGCAAAGTCCCACTGTTGAAAAAAAGATGTGCTGAAGAGGTTATAATTTGCCAAAGAGCAGATTGACTGGCCTAAAGAGAAATGGCGCAACATTTTGTGGACTGATGAAAGTAAGGTTGTTCTTTTTGGGTCTAGTGGCCGGAGACAGTTTGTCAGATGACCCCCAAACACTGAATTCAAGCCACAGTACACTGTGAAGACAGTGAAGCATGGTTGCGCAAGCATCATGATATGGGGATGTTTCTCATACTACATTGTTGGGCCTATTTATCACATACCAGGAATCATGGATCCGTTTGAATACATCAGAATACTTGAAGAGGTCATGCTGCCTTATGCTGAAGAGGAAATGCCCTTGAAATGGGTGTTCCAACAAGACAACGACCCCAAACACACCAGTAAACGTGCAACATCTTGGTTCCAGACCAACAAGATTGACGTTATGGAGTGGCCAGCCCAATCCCCGGATCTTAATCCAATAGAAAACTTGTGGGGTGACATCAAAAATGCAGTTTCTGAGGCAAAACCAAGAAATAGAGAAGAACTGTGGAATGTAGTCCAATCATCCTGGGCTGGAATACCTGATCACAGGTGCCAGAAGTTGGTTGACTCCATGCAACACAGATGTACAGCAGTTCTCAGAAACAGTGCTTATACAACTAAATATTCATTAAGTGATTCAAAGGAAAGCAAAATCTTCAAACATTTTGCAGTTTATATAGTGAATGTTTGAGTTTGTAAAGAAGAATACAAACACTGCTATTTTTTTGAACAGTCTAATATTCACTTTTCTTCAATTTTTTAGAGAAACAACACAAATTTTATATATTTTTCTTCATGTTTGATTTGGAATAGAATGTGTAGTGTTCCCAATGCATTTGTGTGTATGGAAATAAAAGCTATTGGAAGGATTTTGAGCTTTATTCATTTTTTTCAACACACTGCTATTATTTTGAACACAACTGTATATATATTACTGGGTAAATCCAAATTAAATCAATATTTGGTGTTACCACCTTTTACTTTCAAAACAGCATCAATTCTAGCTACACTTCAAAACAGTTTTTTGAAGGAACTCAGCTGGTAGGTTTTTTTAAACATCTTGGAGAACTAACCACAGATCTTCTGTGCATATAGGCTGCCTCAAATTACATGTCACTTCATGTAATCCCAGACAGACTCGATGATGTTGAGATCAGGGATCTGTGGGGGCCAAACCATAACTTCCGGGACTTCTTGTTCTTTGTAACACTGAAGATAGTTCTTAATGACATTGGCTGTATATTTGGGGCTGTTGTCCTGCTGCAGAATACATTTGGGGCCAATCACACACCTCCCTGATGATATGGCATGATGGAAAAATATCTGCCTGTATTTCTTAGCATTGAGGACACCACTGATCCTGACCAAATCTCCAACTCCATTTGCAGAAATGCAGCCCCAAACTTGCAAGGAACCTCCATCATGCTTCACTGTTGCCTGCACACACTCATTATTGTACCGCTGTCCAGCCCTTCGGTGAAAAACCTGTCTTCTGCTACAGCCAAGTTTTTCAGATTTTGACTCATCAGTTCAGAGCACCTCTGCCATTTTTCTGCACCCTACTTCCTATGTTTCCATGTCAGAGGTATGGTTTTTTGGATGCAATTCTTCCATGAAGATATACATACAAATTGTGGTCTGGAGCACCCTAAGTGACATTCCTCCATCCCTGAATGTATATATACACAAAAATTAATTGGTCATGGGACTTTACATGAGGCAGATCACATATAAAACCTAAGATAGGTACAAATTGTATTAATCAATAATTAGACACAATATAGTCATTCTATTTACAATACAATAAAAATCCAACTAAAAAGAAGGATACTGAGCTGATTCATGATGTACTGGATAGACATTATATCAACATAAATACAGTACATAGCTGATCATAGTTTTTTTAAAAGACATAATTACATGACATATAAATTTCATTTCATCTCATAGCTTGACGCGTTTCGTGGATCATTGTCCACTTCCTCAGGAGAAGATGCAAGATCTTTCTCTATAAAAATAGATAAATAACATAATGATAATATTACACTATATTGCCAAAAGTATTGGTCGGCCTGCCTTTACACGCACATGACATTTAATGGCCCCCCAGTCTTAGTCCGTAGGGTTCAATTATGTATTGGCCCACCCTTTGCAGCTATAACAGCTTCAAATTTTCTGGGAAGGCTGTCCACAAGGTTTAGGAGTGTGTCTATGGGAATGTTTGACCATAGGCCAGTCAAGTTCCTCCACCCCAAACTCACTCATCCATGTCTCTATTGACCTTGCTTTGTACACTGGTGCGCAGTCATGTTGGACCAGGAAGGAGCCACCTCCAAACTGTTCCCACAAAGTTGGGAGCATGAAACTGTCCAAAATGTCTTGGTATGCTGATGTCTTAAGAGTTCCCTTCACTGGAACTAAGGGGCCAAGCCCAACCCCTAAAAAACAACCCCACACCATAATCCCCCCTCTACCAAACTTTATACTTGTCACACTGCAGTCAAGCAAGTACCATTCACCTGGCAACCTCCAAACCCAGACACATCTATCATATTGCCAGACAGAGAAGAATGATTCACTCCAGAGAACAGGTCTCTACTGCTCTACTGAGTCCAGTGGCGGCATGCTTTACACCACTGCATCCAACGCTTTGCATTGCAATTGGTGATGTAAGGCTTGAATGCAGCTGCTCAGCCATGGAAACCTATTCCATTAACCTTTCTATTGTTGTTGTGCTAATCTGAAGGCCACATGAAGTTTGGAGATCTTTAGTTAGTGACTCTGCGGACAATTGGCGACTTCTGCGCACTGTGCGCTTCAGCATGTGCTGACTCCACTCTGTCATTTTACGTGGCCTACCACTTGGTGGCTGAGTTGCTATTGTTCCCAGTTACTTTCACCTTGTTATAATACCACTAATAGTTGACCGTGGGATATTTAGTAGCAAGGGAATTTCACGGCTGGACTTATTGAACAGGTGGCAACCTATCACGGTACCACGCTTGAATTCACTGAGCTCCTGAGAATGATCCATTCTTTCACAAATGTTTGTAGAAGCAGTCTGCATTCGACCATGGAGGCAAATGGAACACCCGAATCCAACGATTTTGGCAATATAGTATACATAACTCAGCAAAAAAACTTTCAAAAAGGAGCGACAGATATCCTTAATACTTACAAAACAGCTCAGAATAAAAATCCAGCAGCCAAAGGGGCCGCAGATGCTAGAGAACGTCTATCTCAAAGGCTGTGGCAGTGCAACCCACACAGGCCGGAGACAAATGGAGGCCAAGTTTTCTTGGAACAACATAAAGTGTATAGGCTTATGATAGCCCCAGTGGCAAATCCCAATACTTGTCTGTGAGAAATATTAAATATACAAAATAGGAAATGTGCCGGTATTCTTGTTCATAAATGTGACAAGTGTGAAGTATATAGACAGGGGAATGATTAGAATGAAACAGAAAAAGAAAAAGTGTGAGCAAGATATACATAAAATAAAAAGCTAAGTGAAAATAAAAGTAAGGGCACTGTGGAACTAACCCCTAGGGAAAACCCAATTGTATGCCCATGATGTATATGAGTAAAAATCATGGGCATACAATCTGGTTTTCCCTAGGGGTTAGTTCCACAGTGCCCTTACTTTTATTTTCACTTTCACTTTCACTTTTTATTTTATGTATATCTTGCTCACACTTTTTCTTTTCTTCTTGGTGGTACAAGGGTGGTCTACAGTTGCTCACGAGCAGGCAAGAACAAAAGGAAAGGTTACTCTGTCTGCCACTACCTTTTATCTGAATGGCCAAGTGCAGGCTGCTCCCAATGCCACGCAGACGCCACTCGTAGTCTGGCTGTAAGACCACTTCTCAGGACAGTAGATGGGTGTACCTGGGTCTCACTGGTTTCCGCCAGTTGTTTACTGATGGCACTGCTGGACATCATCTTATATCAAAGGGAAGTAAGCATGATGTGTCTTATATCTGCTGCGTTAAGTTTCCTTGACAGACCACTGTGTCTACAGTCCTCAACATTGCCCATTTGTGCTTCTGCAAAGGAGTTTGATGAATTGAATGGATTTGTTGTACTTGTTAGTTTTTAGTGCTAAGTGGTTGTAAACCTCTGAAATGAAAAATGAACAAAGCATATTCTTATATCCTTCTAAAATGTACTTGCCTCTATACAAAGTACTTAAGCTTGCAATAGATTGATCAAAATTCTGCAGTTTCAGCAGGAACCAGATGAATTTCGGTCTATCCATGGCCATTCCTGTTTGAGAGGAGTTGATGTAATAATGTTGGTAAATTTTCATTCAATCAGCCCCACTGTCATAATACAATAGCAGAGTGGGAAAGTTTCCTCCATCTACCAAATTGTGAGCATGGGGGAAGCCTTTTTTTTTTTTTTTTGTTATCCAGCTCACTGATCAAAATAAACGATCCAGCTATGGCCAGTTTAAAACTCAACTCCAGGTTGCCTCCAGTTATCCTACCCCAATACCCATGGTGCACCCCCACTGCATTATTTTTTTAATTGCTTGTGTAGTTTCCATTTTTCATTGGATTCTGGTCTGATGGGGTGACATCACAAGTCCTCTTCCTTCACTTTCCTCTAGTGTCCTCCAGTGAGTGATGAATAATGCAAAGAATGATGCTACCAAATGACCCAGCACCATTCTTTGAAGCATTCTGCCGTAAGCCCAGGGCAGATTCATGTTGTGCCCCCAGGGCAGATCCTGAATGATGTTGGGTGACATTCAACCTAGAATAATAGTAACATTGGACTGCAGGGCAATGAGCCTGCAATGGTTGGGTTCTAGAAATAGGGTGAGCGAAAGCTACTTTTTGTTTTAAAAAATGTTGGGCAGTTGAATAAAAAAAAATTGAAGCTGGGGTTGGGCTTTACAAGGAGGCTATTATTTTTATTTATTTTTTTTACAAGCACGCTTGTTACATCACACACTATTCATTTTTACTTCTTCATCCCTTCAGCTTGTTCACTGGAAACAATGAGAATCTGGCTTCTGGCATTTATACTTCAACAGGCTTGTACTCTGTAAGGGGCACATTATTTATCCAAAAGAGGTGTGAATTTGGAACATCAAGTGTGTGGATCAGATCCAACAGAGAAATTACACCAGGCACCAGCACAAATCCCAGCGGTACAAAGATAGCAGCTGGTTAAGAGAAAGGCAGACTGGATGACAGGATGGAAAAATATAAATTATAAAAACAAAACAATAAATTCAATCAGGATTCAATATTGCAGCTTTAGCTGTATTTTATCTCTTTATCGCCACCTACTTTCTTTAGTTGTTTTCTAATTGCTAAGCTCTGGTAACAGAGACTGCAGAAGGGATGAAGTGCAGAATATCATGCAGAAATTAAATATTGCTTTAGTGGGTTCACCTTAGATGACCTTACTGATGTACTAATAAAAGAAAAATGCTAACCCAAAAAAGGGAAGGGTGCAGATGCTCTGATGGGCCATAGATCTGTGGTGATGGTCTATTAATTTTAGTGGTGATTAAGCTGCCATGGCTGTTTGGGTGTATTCAATTGAGTGTATTCAATTTCACTGAATTTGGTGTTGGCGAAACACTATCCCAGTTTAATAAGTAATAATTGTCAGTGATCATTTGAAAGAATGGTGCCCCATCAATGATGTCAGTGGTCAGTGGGAGGTATTGTGTCCCAAGACTGATGTCAGTGGTCAGTGGGAGAAATGGTGCCACAGCACTGATGCCAGTGGATAGTGGGTGGTATTGTGTCCTAAGACTGATGTCAGTGGTGAGTGGAAGAAATGTTTTCCAGCACTAATTTCAGTGGTCAGTGAAAGGAATTATATTCCAAAATTGATGTCAGTAGTAAGTAGGAGAAATGGTGCCCCAGCACTGATGCCAGTGGTCAATTAGAAGTATTGTGTCTCAGGATTAATGTCAGTGATCAGTGGAATAAAATGTGTCCCAGCATTGATGTCAGTGGCCAGTAGAATGACTGGCGTCTCAGGACTGTTGTCAGAAGTCAGTGGTAAGAGTGGTGTGTCCAGCATTGATATCAGTGGAAGAAATGATGCCCTAGAATGGTGCCAGGGTAAGTGGGAGAAATTGTGCCCTTAGAATTGGTGCTCAGTGGCACTTACCTCTGTGTAGGCTCTATGTCCTGCCCCATGCCCTGTGGTTATGTCAAGGCCAGGACTATACAGGCACCATCAGGCATGAGATACACATGCCGATACTGCCAATGACACATTGAAAGGTGCAGAAACCATCTGATTTCCAGTCCTTGGCTTGGCATAAAGAGTCTCCCTCCAGCTTCCAATGAGAAAGCCAACCTACAGCAGGCCAGAGGTTGCCATAGGCCCTAGTATGGAGACCACTGTTCTAGACTTTATCTCTGCTATAAATAAGCAGTTCAGTGTGCACAGTTGTCCACTTCTGGAACAAGAAATGATTGACTACCCTCACCCACCATTCTTCATTGAGGATTAAAGTGTACTGTACCTATAGCCAAAACATTTTATAACATTTTGGACAGTGTAGGAGAAGGCTGAGATGGAAAGGTTTAAACTCCTGTCTTTTTTAAAGTTATCTAAGTCATGTTCAGGAGGTTTCCTTTCATGTCCTGTCCTGGAGACACCATAAAGAGTGAGTAGATATCTCTCCAAAGTGATTGGAAAGAAACCCTTTTAGACAACCCCTTTGTGCCACAGGAATGGGTACCCCCACTGTAAGTTTTCTCTTCTATAGATCTTATGGCAAACACTGCAAAACTTTGTATTTCTCATCCCTTTCTCTCTTGAAGACAAATAAAGAAATCTTCCCAGTGGTGAAACAAAGCAGTAAAAAACCTGACAGAGATTATTTCTATCTGTTTCCTATTCTACTCATTACAAAAAAAAAAATGTTTTGTTTTTTACACATACATAGAAACCCCTTGTTTTTGGATTTGTGTTGGGACCCATGACCTATTAATATTGTCTTTTGTAAAAATGCAGCTCCGGACTTGATAATGTTATAGCAGAGGGCTTTTCTGTTCTTTTTGGCTCAACTCGCTATAACCTGACTGGTTACACCATCTCATTAAAAAAAATGGATTCCCTTTAAGAGTAATCACATTCCTAGCAAAGCAGGATACAGCTTACCACGCTGAAAGAAATTGTCAAAGTGTACCTGAATGACATAAGCTCTACAACAACTATTGCATAATGGAAATCTTGTGCACTTAGAGGCAATAAATCATAGCAAACAATGTCAGCGAACACAAAACAGCAGCAGAAGGGTTCAGTATGGTCGTGATGGCTATCACTTAATTTGTCTGTTCCGAAAAAAAATTAAGTAGTTATTTGCAGATGACATCTTCCGTAGACTTGTGTTGGTGTAAGGGGTGATCCAGTATTTTCCATACTTCGACTGCTGCCCTCATGACTTTCTACTAAAGAATGTGATGCACTTGTTAACACTTGACATTTGGTACATGCTGAAAAATTGCTGTGAAAATAGTGTTAGAAAAAAAGAAGACTCGTGAATAGCCGTGTAACATATAAAAGCTATTTTTAAGACTTATGTTGGCTGTGCAGCGAATGATGCCACATTCCATGCCAATTCAAGAATGGACTTGACAAGCATGTGTAGGCTAAGCTGAGCCTTCTGTTACCATTGTCTAAAGTAATAACCTGGACCAACTAACCTGAACTGAACTGGCCATAGCCTTCTTAAATAAGATACAGTACAAAGCAATAATATACAGTATACAGCACATATTTATATAGCAAAAGTTATAGTAGGCACTCAAAAGAGGTTGTCACAGATGACCTAGGACAATGGTATAATAGCTTTATTGCAATAAAGTCTAGCACACTCATAGTTTAGCTAGGGTTAGTTAGACCCTAATGGTCAATGATGAGCTGGTTAGCAGCTCAGGTGAGATAGCCTGAGGGGGCAAACTCAGGATAGAGATACTCTGCAGGCCAGCCCTTCTGGAATTACCCCCTGCTCTGAGGCTTTCAGAGGAGGGCCTTGGAGGCTGTGGGTGGATCTGAGGAGTGGTTGGCTGAACTTTCGAGGGATCT